CTGTGTGTGCATTAACTGACACACAGTAATCCAACATTTTGAACACCTCTGGCTCATACAGTTCCTCCAATTTCAAGGTGAGCACCAAAGTTTTTTATAATCCAATCACTATCCGTGATAAATGTTAACAGTTATTGCCTGCTTCTGATTCATTGTATTCAATAATGGTTACAAATACATTACATAATACTATGATGTGATAGTAATGATGACGATTTGAAATTTTATTACTTCATCATTTTATACTACGTTTGTGTTGAACATTGAAATTCATTGTGAGTTCTTGGCTTAAACATAAAAAAAAAGTTTTGTGAGGCCTTTTAAGCAGCAAATGGGCCAAGGGGGCTCAACAAACAGATTCTTCTTCTTGAAATACTCAGGCACAAAAACCGGACTGAAAAGAAGTAAGCAGCCAGTGTTCAAAAAAAATTCTGGAGAACTTTAAAAAATGACAAAAGTCTGGATACTTGGGAACAGAGATGGGCAGTAACGTGTTACTGTAATCCATTTACTTTTTTCAAGTAACGAGTAAAGTAAGGGATTATTATTGCAAAAATGGTAATTAGATTACCGTTACTTTCCCGGAAGCACGCTGCGTTACTGCGTTACTAAAACCGTGATTTTTTTGCGAGAATGTCTCATGACAGTGACGTAAGCGAGTGCGACGTTCGTGACAACAGCTGTGTGCAGATCAACAATGGATAATATAACGAGTGCGGGAGAGAGTATGAGCGTGCAGCGCTTAAAGCGTAGAAGTACTGACCTTACTTTGAGTTTGATTCCATAAAAAGTGACAAAAACATTAGTGTTCTTGTGCGTGGGAAGAAAACTTCTTTTAACAGCGAAAAAAAAAACCCTAAACTTCAAAGCAAGCACCGAGTGCGCAATGACGTAATGGGAAATTCACAGAGAAACTCGCGGATTCTTCCACTGACCGCTGCGGTACACCTACACCAGGGCAAAACTTCGCCTGCCCTACTCCTGCTTTACAGGTGAAAATAGAGCAACAGGACCGCTGAGTCTTTGACTTTATTTATTTTATTTATTTTCTGCTGTGTTTTACTTGCATCTATTTGAAAGAGTGAGTGTAAACACAAAAAAATATTTTATTTTATGTGCTGGAATGTGTAGAAAATAGGTTTAAATGTTAAACTAATTTCTTCCAGTCAGAGAATGTTGCATATAATTAAATTTTTTGCTTGATGCATAAAGTTAAAAGAGTAAAACTAATAAAACAAGTTTTAAAAAGAGACTTTTCCATTTGATTACATTTTGTATGATGGATTATGCAGAAAAAGTAGAATTGGGCTGAACGATCTATCACTTTATCACCTATTCAGGTTGTAAATCGTGTTTTTAAAAAGTAACTAAGTAATTAATTAATTTTGAAAATAAGTAATCAGTAAAGTAACGGGATTACGTTTTTGGTGAAGTAACCAGTAATTAGTTACTGATTACTTTTTTCAAGTAACTTGACCAACACTGGTTGGGAAGCAAAATACACAGAAATTGCGGGGTGGCTCAAGACTTTTGCACAGCACTGATGGCAGCTAACAATAAAATAAATTTGTTGCATTATTCCATTTGTTTATAATAAGGCTTGTTATATATAGAGGACACTCTTAAGGTTTTGGACTTTAGTTTTCTTACGTTATTTTTTGCTGCATCTGTCACTTCCTCTAAAGCGTCTTCATTTTGTGCATTTTTGTTCATGACAACTTCATCTTCTGAAAACACAAAGCATAAAACATGGTTATCCTCTTTTTCCATGGACATTTAAGTACATTTTTGCATGCCTGTGAATGCAAAATATACCTTTTACTCTCTGATGTTTGCACTTATGAACTATAACCGCAAAAACACACATCAGTAGCAGCAGCAGGGGAGGAACAGTGTAAACCACATAGTGTCTTGCATCTGAAAAGCAGAAAGAAAAAACAGAACGGAGTAAAAATATAAACATCCTGAAACATTCACACTTTCAGGGACACACAACAGAACTGTGAGCTTAGGGGATACTTTTTGGGGTTTAGTGCGCACACCCACAGCAGTTGTGACACTCGGGATCGTTTTGGTATGACTTACATTCACTACTTTCCAAAAAATAACCATAACTCACAACACTGATCGTCAGAAGTACACACTGAAAGATACTTATTGTATATACTGTACTTTTAATAGGATTACTGGGAATTTGTGTTGACATTTTTCCAAGCGTTTCCACTGCAGAAGGTAGAGTGCTGGTGTGCTGGAGAA